CGATGGCAGACACGGGAGCAGTAGATTTATCCGAAGTTCCGCCCAATCAAAACAGAGGCAGCGTACAATTTGTATTGCATACCTGCCGTGGTGGTGGACTGCCTGGACAAAGCCAATATGTACGCGGAGCCAAACTGAGGAACAATCTTGATGATTGGTGCTGGCGGAAAGGTGATAACTAACACTGACTGGTGGCCACAGAGGGGAAGGTTGGGCACCAACTATAATCTGGGGGGGGGGAAGGTTGGGAGGCCGAGTTCAACCTTGACTCCATTTTACATTATAGCCTAGGCGTGCAGTCTGCTGTGTGTGTGTGTTGGGATGTAACGCCGCTTCACTACCGTATACGACACAAGATAACACACCCCCTGGACCAATTTTCAAAGCTTGATTATGCGACAACGAAGAGGATGCATAAATGAAACAATAAATTTTCGGAAAGCTCTAGACGAGACACTTTCAACTCCATCAACTCCAACTCCACCATTTTCCGCGCTGTAACTCTTTGTGCTGTCGAGAAATCGAGATTTGAAAATCGGCTCGGGGGGGTGTGTTATCTTGTGTCATCTACGGTAATCAGATACGGGATAACTTGCACACTCTTGGGCTGCAACCTCCCTACAACCTTAGTTGGTGCTTACAATGTTACAATATACAAGCAATCGCCTCGTGTCGGGTCAGACTATAGAGATGCGTGCCATCCGCCGCAGGATGATTGTTGCTCTTGACTGCGCTTGGCGTACAGCAGTATGTAGAACACACAAACACGTGGACAGGTCTTTTTTTTTTTTCAAATCAGCGCTCACAGAACAGAAGGGTTTGCTCCAATCCGTCGTCATCCAGAAGAGTTCCTCTCTCTGAGGCCCCTCCTGAGGTGCTTGGCCTTCGATTTTCCATGCTAGAAGAGTGCAGCACTCTTTTTCCCTCTGCGTACACACGAACTAGGTATCGCTTTCCACCCAGGGCAGGAACAGAACCGAAACGAAAAACTGACTTTGGCAAAAAAAGCCCCCGCTTACGCCGGGATTCGAATCCACAACCCTGACCTCTACAAATACCGCAAAACAGGTTGTCGAGGATACAACTAGGCTGCCGGGGCGACCGGCACTCTCTTGCCCCCGACAACCCAGAAAATCACACGAAGAACGTTTATGTCTGCGTGTTTTCCTTTTCGGTTTCTACAGGACAAAAATATACCCCTGTGCATAGTCTACGTGTATTGATTTTTAGAGGACAAAAATATATGAACGTCTCTGTGTTTTTTTCTTGGATTTGTTTTTTGGGGGGGGGGGTGACAGGAGAACTAATTTTGGGTTAGAGGACAAGTGTAGATTCAGAAATATCACAGCTTGAAACACAGATCATGATGTGTTTTGGTGACCTGATCGGGACTGGTGTAGACAGCACAACAAGGTCAACAAGCTGTGCGGGCAGCTATGGACAAATCGAAGAATCTACTCCTGTGAATACTCTAGTCTACAGCTGGCAGTTTCGCCACCGGCTCATCAACCTAGAACTTCGCCGCCGGCACTTCAACCTAGAACGTAGTCACCCAGCGCCCACCTAGCACGTATCGTATGGGCTTGGGGTCACTGTTAGAGCGTTAGAGTTTTTTCGCCGAATAATGCTCCTTCCAAAGCCGAAAATCTATTTATTAGGAGTACAACCCTGGTTCCGGTTGAAGGGAACTCATGGACAGCCCATGAACTGCCCACCATGGGCTGAGGTCGTTTCTCATCGGCGGTCCATGGGCGGATTTACAAAACCGCCTAAAATGTGGGAGACCTGCTGGACGGGCGTTGCTTTCCGAAATTATTTCGCGGAACCCTAACGTTGTTTATCTACGGTACAGTAACAATCTCAGGTTAGGCTACCGTCCGTAGAAAAATTGGCCAAATAGACCCGTGGCGAAGTTGCAGCGTCGGGCACGACTGGCTGAGCTTGCCTTGCCGATCGCATGAAAAGTGGTCTACACCTACTGTAGCGTTCACGGCCGCCTTCAATCAACCGATGAACGCCACTACAATTCTCGCGAGCGACTCTTATCTCTTGATCATCGGCGTTCATCCCCGGTGGGTGCAATAAAGGGAAAGGACTACACAATCTACATCTATCTGGACCACACCAACCATCGAAGGGTTTGGGAATCGCCCAAAACAAGTGCCTATCTGTACCAGGTTGTCCGTACGGTGGTCCCTAGATTCGGTGCCTCCATGTCAAAAAGCGCCATGTAGGCGACCATAGATGATGAAAGTCAATGCAACAGCAGTATTTAGGAAAGATCGAGTGTGATGAGCAGAAAACACACGAACAAACACGAAAAACAATTCGGTTGAGCAGACACCCGCGGACTATTTAGGTGTGGGTAGGTGAAAGTGGACAAGGCTGAAACAAGAGAAAACTCGTGTACAGAACCCCGACATATTTTTTACACCAGGGTACGCCTATGCAATACCATCGTTGTGCTGGGAGGACCCCGTGCCAGCAGACTTCACCAGGACGATCAATGAGTGGCACCATTCGACTAGCTCGTGATCGTCATCATGATCGGGTCATGACTTGAGTCGTGACCGGGTCGTGACCGGGTCATGACCGATGGGGTCATGATTTCGGTCAGGACCCGGCTCCGTGACCCGATCATGATCGGATCGTGACCGGATCGCGGCCGGGCCTTGACTTAGTTTGCTGTTGCTCACTGCACAGGAATTTGTACCGGCCATGATCTAGCCAAGGCTGTGTCATTACCGAGTCGTGATCCTGACATGGCTGGGTCACGATGAGGGCTCCAGAACCGAGACATGATCATGGCATCATCCCATCGTGACCCAACCATGACCTGATGGTCTGTTTCGATTTAGGACATCCAACCCAATCAAGTGTGCTCGCACACACACCTACCACTCAAGAAGTAATCCCATCATCATCCACCTAGCGCCGATGCTGGCACACCAACCTAGAACCTCTCCACCCAGCGGCAAACTTAGCACCTATCTGGCGGGTTGGTGGTTACGGTTAAGGTGAACGTAAGGGTTTTTGCCGGTTGCATGCCTTTGACGAAGCAGATAAACCGTTGTTTTGGAGCACCAGAACTGCATTGGTCATGACCAAGTCAGAACCGAGTGATGGGCGAATCATGACTCGGTCACGACCGGGTCATGGGTCATGAACGGCCACTCTCGTGACGGCCAAGTCGTCACCGACTTACGACCGACTCATGACCGAAGCATGACCGAGGCATGACTTCGGTCATGGGTCGTGACCGTCATGCTCGAGTCATGATCGGGTCATGACCCATGATCGGGTCATGACTGAATCATGACCAAAACCCGACAGTGTCTAGTCCGCTTCTTGAGATATTTCAGACTTGACGTGTAAGGTTTGGAAGCAAAGAAAGGCAGGGATGTCCTGCACTTGCGTTTATATCATCGGGTAGAGATGCTTGACAGCATGCACGTAGATAATGAGGTTACTCACAAGTGATTGGGGACAACCCTCTCAACTGGTATGAGATGTTTTCCGTCATGATTTGGTTCCCCGGAGGCACGCGAATGGGGCTGGAAAAGTTGTTTGAAGAGTCGCGTTTGCCCGGAAACTTGTGTCTGTCTTGGCCCGTTCTTCGCGACATTCGTTCAGGGCATGAGAGCGTGATTCTGCCCTCGCTGCCGACGTATTTCGGATCACCCTGTTGCAACATCTTCCGTTCCACTAGACACCCGGAGCACATTCTCCGGCCGATCGAAATTTTCAGGGGCTTTTCCTCGGCCACCCCCGCCGCTCTCTAGAGGTGAGCGATATCCAACTACACCACTGTAGATTGTCTCATACACAGACGTAGCCTTTTCCAGGAAGGACCTTACATAAGAACATGTTTTCGACGCATTGTGGCTCAGGAGGAAATGACTTAGACTGCCGTTGTTTAAATCGTCTGAGTTCCACAGCGTGATACAAAATCTGAAGGTGGCACGCCGCGGTGTTTTTTTCACCTACCCAGGTACCAGGTATCTACTAGCATTGTCACGTACGAAAAGAAACCTGAAATACAAACGTCGCGCAGCACATTGCGTTTTTCAACCCTTACAACTACCAGGAACGACATTAGAAACGTCTTCTTCACACGTGTACACCCGCGGAGATGCGGTAGTTTTCGCGCCCGCGGAAGGGACGATCAAGCCCAAAGTAATGGCACACGGAGCGTTCAGCAGGCGCGCCCCACGCGCCCGGAAACTGGGACGAATAGTAGACACGAAAAAAAATAAAAAAATAGTAGACATGGTTTTCTTGTCTATGTATTCTGTTGACGAACGCACCTACCTTTATGTGTTGGTACATGCAGCTGGAAAACATCTATATTGGAGCAGGCGGCACTCGTGATGCGTTTCGAACCCTCGAGTGTGCTTTGGTAATGTGCAATTTTTTTCTACTTTCGTCAACACCTTGCTGATGACACATCGTGGGTTCTCCCTTCCATGCATTCCACTGATGTTCTGATCGTCTCACACTCCGGGATTAGCTACAGCTACGGGGTGCACGAGTAGAAGGAGGAGGCAAGTTGCGCCACCTATCTAACTAAACAGTGGCAACAAAGGCAGTATGGTCCGGCAGAACGCCGCCGGGCTTGCTGCTGCGGCCCTCTCCCTGTCGCACTGGGTCCGTGGCGTTGCCTCTCAATACGACAGCTGCACCGACGGGACGGTCGCCAGCATTGCAAACGGCGAGTGCGACCATGCCAACAACAACCCTTCCTGCGGCTACGATGGGGGCGACGTGAGTTGCTCCTGCTGCTGACATAATTTTCTAGCGTTAGCCTGAAACGTGCATGCTGTTGGGTGCGTAACGCGTGGTCATGGCTGGTGCTACACCATGAAGGACCCATGTTACCTTGACGAAACGAGCACAGCAACGCATACGGCGGTTAGTTCTGGTGTGGAAGGAGAGGGCACTCCATCAGATGTGGGCGAGTCACGAGGCAGGTGTCCTACTCCACACCGATGTGAAATGATATGACAACCCCTCTCGCCGCCTCCGTTCCTCCTCAGTGTTGTTTCTGTAGCTGCAGCCACGCGGATTGCTATTCGAGTCTCTTCGACTGCCTAGACCCCGGCTCGAGCAACGGGTTCTACGAGTGTCAGGAACCGCCTCCTGCCACCCTACCTTGCTCGGCGGAGGTCCAGCAGTCGTGGGTGGTGGCCGAATCGGCGGAGGCACTGGCATTAGCCGCGGCCGTCAACTGTTCCGGCGGGTCGTTCGAGGTGGAGTGGAGAGGGTCCATAGTCGTGGAGTCCCCGGTCTACGTCCGCGACGGGACCGTTCTCACCGTTACCGGCGTCGGCTCGACCGCCGTCATCGACGGAAACGCCGCAACGCGACTCTTCACCGTCGTCGACGCGTCCCTGCACCTGCGGAACGTGAACATCAGCTACGGTGCGAGCAGCGCGGTCGGCGGGGGAATCGCCGCGGCAGGGTCCCGCGTGACGCTGAACCACACGAGCTTCGTCGGCAACAGGGCTACCGGCCACGGAGGCGCGGTGTATGTGTCGAACGGCTCTACCTTGTCCTGCTTGGGAGATATAGCCTTCGACGACAACAACGCGACGGGGGACGGGGGCGCCATGTACGTGATCGGTGCCTCGGCCGTCGACTGCGGTGCCTCCTGGCTCGGCAACGTGGCGGGTGATTCCGGAGGCGCAATATACGCCGGGAACGGATCCAGCGTATCTTGGACCGATGACGCCGTGTTCGTTGAGAGCGGCGCCGGCCGTTACGGCGGTGCTATCTGCGTCCTGGATGGCTCGACGGTATCATGGGACGGCCGGACGGAATTCCATTCGAACCGCGGTGCTCTTTGGGGCGGAGCCGTGGTCGTCGAACACGGGTCGAGTCTTTCGTGGGGCAGAGACACGACGTTCACGAACAACAGCGCTATCTATGGGGGTGCGCTAATGGTAGTCGACCTCTCCGCAGCTTCCTGGAACGCACCGACCACGTTTCTGGAGAACCAAGCTTGGTATTCTGGGGGCGCGGCCTACGTCCAAACTGCCTCGAGTATTTCGTGGACCGGACACGCGGAGAGCGTGTTCGACGGGAACCAGGCTCTGATTGGCGGAGGGATAGCTGTGACTCAAAGCTCTGAGCTTTCCTGCGCCGAGGAGACCACCACCACGTATGTCGGAAACTCGGCAACTATTTCCGGGGGTGCCCTAGAGGTGGGCTCCGGATGCAACGCGTCCTTCGGCGGCAACGCTTCCTTCGAAGGGAACAGCGCTGTTGGAGATCCAGGAATATTGGAGAGTGGCTTCGGCGGCGCACTGTTGATTGTCGGTAGGGAGTTACCTGCCGGCGTTTTCTTCGGTGGTTCGACGGCTTTCGTGGGCAATTTCGCGGAGAAGGTGGGAGGGGGGCTGGTCGCGAGCTACGCGACGGCGGCGTGGGGCGGGGACACGGCATTCGTGGGAAATTCTGCCGGTCGGTCCGGAGGAGCCGTCTTCGTCGTGAATGGCTCGAGCGTCGCATGGACCGGGGACACGACCTTCACGTCGAACGAGGCGAGCACCGACGGGGGTGCGGTGGCATCACCCATTCTCGACTCCGTGTACAATCTCCGGAGCTCTACCCTCCTCATCAACGGACCGACGGCCTTCGTTAACAACACGTGCGGGGGAAGCGGGGGAGGTCTCGCTGCCTTCGACGGCCTGTCGGTAGACGTCGACACGGCGGATGTTACCTTCTCCGGCAACGCCGCCGAAGTCGCGGGAGGGGCCGTTTTCGTCTCTGGCGCCGGCGTCGGCTTCGTATTCGTCGACGTGAGCTTCGTGGCCAACTCCGCTCAGGTTGGAGGCGCAGTTTCGATCGTGGGGTCCGGAAGCTTGAAAGGGTTTTTCGACCTCGAATGGCCAAGCCCAACAACATTCGACCGCTGCTCCTTCGTCGGCAACCAAGCGTCCGCAACGGGTGGGGCCGTCGAGAGCGCGGCCGGACAGGACGCCTTCGTCGGTAATGTGTTCGTGGGCAACAAGGCCGGGACCGGGGGGGCTCTGCGGATGGCAGGCACGGCGTCTGTGGAGAACTGCTCGTTCGTCGACAACGTCTCAGACGACGGCGAAGGGGCGGCCTTGTCCAACATCGGTTTCATTTCGAAGATGGCGCACATCTACTTCAGTGAAAACGTCTTCGACTGTCCATCCGGCACGTTCCTGGACTTCAACGCGGTAAGAATCCCGGACACCATATTTTGCTTTCAAATGTTCCGACTCTTCAGAAACCCATATCTATTCAAACTATTGTGTGTCAGTTGTTTCTAAAAATTGTTTCCAAATTTCCAAAACAATCTCCTCCGCCGCAAATAGAGGTCGTATGGTCTACGGATTTGTAAATTGGAGATTTGGGAGTAGTTTAGATGCTTGTAAAAAATGTCGCTAAGGAGACGTATTGCGCGCATAGCCGCTTGTGTCCTCCCCCGCAAGTGCAGTCCAGGTAGTCTGCTGAAGGGGTGGGCCGCTCCAACCAGAGTTAGTTTGTCGACAAAATAGACTCAGAGCTCGCCTAAGAAGCGGGTTCGGGCTTCTACTGTGCATGCCAATGCACCAACGCGTGCCTTGGAACGTTCCATCCATGCTCATGCCGCGGATGTGTAACAGTCGGGCGACCCATTCGAAGCCGTCTGCGCCGGGTGTGACATCGTGTGCGACGGATGCGTCTTCGAACAAGGGCTAGTCGGTCCCTCTTGCTCGGAAGCAATGGCCCACTCGACGAGCGCCGGCGGCAACACCACCCTCCAAGAAGTATCGATCGACCGAGGGTATTGGCGAGCAACATCCGTGAGCGAAGAAGTCCTCGAGTGCTTCCAGGCCGATGCATGTCTGGGCGGGGTGACGGGGACGTCTGGGTATTGCCTTGAGGGCTACGAAGGACCATGTGCGTGGCGTTGGATACTCCTCTCCTGACTAAGTCAGTAGCTCGCGTGTTTTATTTAACGTATAACAACTGAAATTGCTGAATCGTGATGCGTCATGTCGAATAGTCTGTCCTGGTGCTTCATTCAGGTCGTTGCCGTGCTGTCAGAAAAGCCGTGAAGTAGCTGTAGCCGTGTTGGCAATGCGATCGCTCACTTGTACCCACTGCGGGCTGCCCCGTTCAAGGCTGCGAGAAAAGAGCATCTTCAAGGTTGACCTCTCCCTTGCGCGCGGCCCCACACGACACGTACGAGTGGATGAAAGCTCGAACCGTCAGTGGCACAGCTCCCCCATCGAACAACTGTGATTCACCAATCTCACGCCCGTCTGTATTTGTATCTACGTGCCTGTCTGTCGTTTGGCGTACAGATTGCAGTATCTGCAGCGGTGGGTACACGAAGCAACTGGGGTTTTCTTGCACCAAGTGCTCCGAAAACAAGGCTGGTGGCATCGTGGTAATTGTCATGGTCGCCATATTGACCATCTTGGCGGCAGTCGCTGTAGTCTCGTATGTTATGTCGAGGGACGACGACGGGGGCGCGGAGGGAGGGTTCGTCGAGCGCGTTGCCGGGCACATTCCACTCCAGTCCGTGAAGATCGTGATCGTGTCGTGGCAGATCTTGACACAGGTTTGATAAGGCCATCTTTTATTCGGCAAAGACTTAAGCGCACTCAAATGTCGAACAGTCCAAGGTAGCGTGCGTAGTGTTGCTGACAACCGCGCGGACTGCCGTCCATGAACGATTGGGGCACATGCTGCTATGTGCCGCCCGCCCGCCACCGCTGAACCTGGAAAATAATGTGACCTCTGAATCACGGGTTTTGCAGCTGTGTTTGAGGCATGCCACGGCCATGAGCCCTACCCGGCTATTCGAGTTTCTACAAGAATTCCGGCGTCGTAGCTTACTTACTACACACTCTATCGAGCACCAACACGCTACTCGACTTCACATGCCACACGGCGCTTTTCGCATTAGTATTTAAGTGTGCGCCTGTGCGCCAAGCCCCCTGGATGAACGCTGTTAGAATCTGAAGAGTCACCAGAGTACCATGTTGTTCGCCGCCCCCACCCTAACACCCTCGGTGCGGACCCATGAACCCGTGTGTGTGTTGACTGGTGCCAATGCGCACGCCGATTCCGTTCGCCCATCCGCGTGTCTGTCGATTCGCGCCCCCGGATTTCCTTTCACAACAGTTCACGTCCGTGGCGAACGTCACCTACCCTGACGTGTACCAGGACTTCCTGGACGCAATGGACGTGTTTAACTTCGACCTCAGCTGGGTGTTCTCGACCGGGTGCATCTTCGACATCGACTTCCACGATCGCCTGCTAGTGTCGACGATCAGCCCACTCGTGGCCCTGTCGTTCCTGGCGTGCACCAACGCCGCCGTCGCCCGTACAAACCGCGGATCCCCCCGGAACCTCCAGAACAATGTGTGGCAGAAGCACGTATCCATGGGGCTCCTCCTCACCTTCCTCGTGTACTCGAACGTTAGTTCCGTCCTATTTCAATCCTTTGCGTGCGAGGAGCTGCACGACGGCAAAAACTACCTCCGGTCGGACTACCGCATCGAGTGCGACTCCTCCGGGCACAAGGCCTTTCAGGCGTACGCGGGCTTCATGATCGTCTTGTACCCGGTGGGGATCCCGGCTCTCTACGCCGGCCTCCTCTTCAGGGATCGCGACGTGCTGAGAAAGGATGAGGCCAACCGAGAAGACCCTCCACGCGTCACGTCGACGTCCCACCTGTGGGAGCCGTACAAGCCGTCGGCGTTCTACTACGAGGTGATCGAGTGCTGCCGTCGGGTTCTGCTCGCCGGCGTGGCCGTTTTCATCTACCCGAACACGGCCGCCCAGATCGCGGTGACTCTGGTCATCGCGGTCGCGTTCACGATACTCTCCGAGGCCCTGGACCCGTACTCGTCGAGGTGGGACTCGTGGACGAGCAGGATGGGGCACGTGGTCGTGCTCGTGAGCATGTACGTAGCCCTCCTGCTCAAGGTCGACGTGTCCGACGAACGGGCGAGCAGCCAGAGGGTGTTCGAGGCCATCCTCGTGGCCGTTCACGCGTGCATGGTGACGCTGGTCGTGATCGAGACGATCATCCTGTCGGTTTCGCTGAGGGCGGCCAAGGAACGGGAAGCCCCGCTGCCGAGGCTCAGCAGCAGCGGGAAGTCGTTGAGCCGTATGCTCTCGACTATGCACATGTCAGAAGGGGAAGAAGAGGCAAGGGATGATACAGTAGATGAGGCAATACTTCAGAGCGTGACAGTTACACGTACGCTGCGACGTACCATTTGAACGGAGCAACACTGCGATCGAATCCAAAAATCCACAACAAAATCCTACGGTATCTTGCTGCCTTTTTTGTTGTTGGCTCTCGCAGGAAGATCGGCGATATGGTCTACGTCGAGTGTTGCGAGAGAGCCTCGCGCGTATTGGATGTGCTGAAATATCGAGTTGTTCCTACATCAGCTGCCTTCTCTATGGTTTGCCAAAATTGATTCTCGGTTTGCTCAGGTGATCATGCAGAGTAACATGTCTAGTCTAGTCTATATGTTCGATCTTTGTTGCGGCCTTCGAATCACGAACGGTAAAATATCAAATGTTCGAGGGGCAATGATTTGGTGATGTTCGCGTAGCCAGAACACGCCTTTCTGAACGAGATGGGGGCGGTGTCGAGGATGTGTGATTGTGTTGGCTATAAAGTTAGCAAAATATCGAAGCATCAGGGGGCGAAAGGGTACACTAATCGTCAGGGAGATGAAATTGGGGTCGAGAAGTGCATGGTGATGGGTAGTGCACAGTGAAAAACGGATACGCTGGGACGAGACTATGCGTTGCATTCACGTTTTGAACCCGACATATAATGGTATCCTCATGAACCACAGTGCCACGTACCCTTTTTCTGTGAGTATTAAACTTAGGGTGATCCTTGGGGAGTAAAGTAGGCAAGTGCCATGCAGAAGAGCACTTCATGTGGCTCACCAAATTTGCGCAAGCACGAGATCGAGCATAGATAAAGCAAAACAAAACGCCATGGTGTGAAAATCGATCTTTCATTCGAGACGCCAAGCACGGTGGTTTGTAGCCCCAAGATTCATGCGGATCGCAGCACGTCCGTACATGTTCGGCATTGCGACGTTCTTTCCAGAAACGAGCACTGCAAACCATGTTTTATTGTGTTCCATCAAAGGAGACACGGAAGCCTCGGGAAAGTTAGACATTCACGGCCCTATTCATCGCAAATGGACTGACATTTGTTTCCTGCATGAATTCAAGGAATCCCGCAAGACCTCTTGCTCATCATTCGGTGAGTGGAAGGGACGACGGTGAGTTGGCGTGAAGGGATGCATTATCCTCTCAAGAACAGCATCGGTTCCATTCATGTCTCTGCAATGTAGCCAAAACGAGAGACCGTGCCATGTCGTGGGGTACGTGCGCCACGAGACAGAGGTCACGTTCGTGCGGCTCGAACCGTCACCAATTCGTACTCGTTAATTTCGACACGTCACATGGAAACGCTTACGGGCGAAAAACAAAAAAAGCCGACGGGTTCTTGTCTACCCCAGTGTTTGCAGTCATACCGCCCAGGTTTCGTTCACCACCACTGGTGCCCTGGTTTCAGACACGAGAGTGGAGGAGGGGTTATACCCAAATCTCGCACGACTGCTATTTTTGGGCGTGTTGGCTGCTACAGCAGTGAGCTGCCGAATTTTGCGCGAAAAGCGATGGCAGTGTGTACCACGGCCATGGAAATGACTGCCCTGGTGCGTGTGGGGTTGTGGACCCTTCCACTTTCCCCCGAGTTTCAAAGTACGTAAAACAGGAGAGAGGTGGAAACAACAACTTTTACTAAAACGCGCCTTTCGATGTTTTTCTTCTCAAGGCACCGTGCATCATGGAGAGGTAGACCCCCCTCGAAACGCAAAGTGAGTGCGCCAGGTACTGGGGTCAGGTTGCTATCCCCCGACACATCCAGAAACGCAACACGATATCGCTCTGCAGCCAGGAGTGTTGTCTACCTTGTAGGTCGGATCATGTCCATGCACCGCAGCTTGTTCTATCGACCCAAAACACCCCCCCGGTGCATTCATGTGCATAGGCAAAAATAGGCTACCTGGGTAGGTCGAAACTCCGCCTGATCGAACCCGAATGGTACTGAACAGTGCATGTCGCCACGCCAGTCACCAGAGAGAAGGTGTGGGTCAGATTCACATTAAAACTCGAACCAGATACTCTCAGGCGATAGCGCCGGGCATCCTGAAGTGGTCCAAGGTCTCCGTTTCTCTCCGAGACTACTTGATTGTCGCGACGCCGCCTGATCAAAGCCCCCATCCGCTTCAAACTTCAGTACCGTGTGACACAAGAGATATTGCAGGTATATCCGAGATGGACAGGTAAAGAGGGGCAACGTCCAACAAGGACGGCGGAGCAACGAGTTACTCTCGTCCGAACATGACGCAACCGGGACACACGAATCGAATCAGGCCCTAGTCTGGTTCTTCCATTCCTCTGCCGAACAGAAAAAACAGCGACTACAGAACGTTGGTTGCAGGGTGAGATGAGACCAAACACTCTACAACACTTTCAAACAAGCGGGGCCTCCTAGGCAATTACACCAACCTCGGAAAGCAACCGAAGAATCCCCAGGATGGGGGCAGCCAACCACAGCCGGTGGCCGACTTCTGCGCCACAATCCCCTGTCGACCCCCCTCCCCCCTTGTCACGAGAACGCAAGAATGATGAGCAGCTGAAGGTTCATCGTTAAAAAACGTAGCCTGGGCCGTTGAAAACCCGTCATGTCGCTCAGTCCCCGCATCGCAAGGACGCGAGGTCAGCGGTCTAACAACTTCGGCACGCGTGTACTGAACTTGATTCCAAGACGACCACACACACACGGGCCCCCCTCTCCTTGAGCGCGCTAACACCCTACCACATCAACGCCTCCGCAAACGCTTCTCCTCACGAGACGGTGGACGGCGGTCGAATCGATCAAAAAAGAAAGAGGGTCGGTCGCCCGGGCTCGGCCGAAGCCTTTCGTCTCGCGTCGCCCTCCTCCCCGGCCGCGTCCAACACCTGGACGTTTTCCAGCGCGAGGCTGTCTCGGATGTACGCCATGTTCTCCTCCAGGATGGCGGTCTGGTCGAAGGGGAGCGTCGCCTCCAGCGCCTGAGTGTTATTTTTTCCCCCATTTGTTGGGGGGAAGGTTGGTTGGTTGATCATCCGTTTTACAAGGAGACAGCGGTGATGCGCTGGCCATCAGAGGAGAGGTTTTTTTCCCGTTCTTGCTTGATTTGTCCGTTTCACAACGATGCGGCGGCGTGATGCGTGCTAGGCATAACAAGAGCCTCAGTTCTTTCTTGTAGAATGTTTTTTCAGCGAGGGGGGTTAGAAGTTGATTCGATCGTTTCACAAGGACGCAGTCGCGTGCTAGGCGCAGGAGGAACTGAAAACAGGGGATGGACGCAACGGCTAGTAGTCCGACACCTCTCGTTCGGTAATTGGCGGAAGCATTCACCCCAGTCTGTTCACTCTTCGATCCAAGGTTAGACGCCGTAGTGAATAGCGGCTCCCCTGGGTTGCCTTTGTTCCCGCGACGTGCTCGATCTCCGACAGACGTACACCTTTCAACCCCCCACGGCGCAGAAACCTGACAAACCGTTGCACAGTCTTGTAAAACAACATGGCACCAACAGGTGAAAAATACCGCACCCTTGTTGAGCAAACGTCCCGGATAAACCCAAGCTAGCGTTACCTGAGGACCGGCCTCCTCGAACTCCGCCTTCACGAAAGCCGCGAACTGCATCACGGCCTGCGACTGCTTCTTGTCGAAACCCGCCTTCGTCGAGAACGCCTTCGGTTTGTGCACGGCACGTGAAAAAGAGCAAAAACAAAAAGCAACGCAGCAGGGCAAGGAAAAGCACGGCACATCCATTCAATGTGACACGGGCACGCTGGTCATCAGCACACGATGGTGGGTGACATTTCGTTCACTGAGCCACACACGTGCAATTTGCGGCCCACGAATGCGGAAAAGCTAAGCGCAACGCACAAACCCAGTGACGTAACTACACAATGCACACAAAATGAACGCGTCCAAGCAGTGAAACCTCTCGGACAACAGAAAATATGTGGCGACCGGCGCATGAGGTGCAGAGTGCCGCGCACGACCGCACCAAGCCAAAGAGCGGGCGATGGTGAAGTACAGGCAGCCGTAACGAACGCTATCGCACAAGGAGCATCTCTCCCGTCATCGACCAAAAGCACATGCGCCCACACACACCCAAGCAATAGAGCCAGAAGATCACCCCCCAAACATGCCCTGCATATCCTTGAGCGAGTGTGCATTAAGGCCAGAGCGGCACGCAAGCAAGAAAAAAAAAAAAGGTGCAGTGGCAGCTACCCCGGACAAATGAGGGTACCCCTACCGCACACATCGACATACACGAAACAACGCCGACAAAATCTCCCTACTCTAAATCATACACACCTTGAGCCCCTTCATGACGTCAGGAGCGAATGCCTCCCCTCCGTTAGCCTCGAGACACGACCGTAGGTGGGTCAGGGTGTCCTGCTTCCACTGCGGGTAGGCGGACGCCACGTACACGTGGGCGGATTTCGGCGCGCCTTTGCTCTGCGCGTTGGGGAGGCGCAAGAAGCACAAGCAGCAGCAGCAGCAGCAGCAGCAGCAGCAGCAGCAGCAGCAGCAGCAGCATAGGGCGACCACGTTTGAGAGAGATTAATCTTCCGCCGATTGTTTTAGTGTTTTAGTGCAAACTTCGTAAACCTACCAAGTGCTCGGTTGTGATGCCTATTCTCTGTCCACAGTGCAGACCGATTCTCTGTCCGGAGTGAAAAACCCACCAACCTTTCAAGTTGGGGTGGTAGAAAAAAAAAAAAAAGCAGGAATACACGATCAACGGTCACGACGAAGAGCAAGGCAAGCACCGAAGGAGCAAAGGTGGGGGCATCCAACACGTCGTCGCTGCGTGACCCGGCTGATAAGTCAAAGATACACACCGAAAGACGGGATGGGACGAACACCGGCACACGCACACATAAGGGCGAGCAGTCGCCCCGAATGAGCCAAAACAAAGAGCTTCGACATAAAAGGCCCGCCTGCTTGACTATATCGCGTGACACACGACATGCAGTAAGAAAGTTAGCGCATTGAAACCCGCCTCACAAGCGCACGGGTCATCATGCCTCCGTCATTCTTCAGCCGAACAAGGGTCAACTGACACCCGAGTCGATGAATGCACAACAGACAGCCAACGGTGGCTTCCCATGTAGACTGCTCTCGCAAGATGTCCCCGGAGATGACATCGGACGTCACCGCCAACAATGCCGACAGTAACTACACTCCAAAACACCAGAAAACAAGAAGAAAATGCTAGCGAGACGAGACTAACACGCCAACAAATACCAACAGGACAGTCAGGATCAATTACACCCTAAACATCAACACCACCGGCAACACTGATGCACGAACTTTCTGCGCCGTGAGCCGGAAGGCCTTGAGAGTCTTGCTGAGAAACTGGAACGACCTCGACATCCAGCCGTCCACCTCTCCGGTCTGAGGCCAGCTCGCCTTCAGCACGCTGCCGGACTCTGCAATGCGCGGGTTTGTACGGGGAAAAGGCGCGTCGACGGGGGGGGGTGGGGGGTTATCGCGGCCACGAGCAGACGGGTCCGACGAAAAAAATCCGGCCCAATGTTGTCGCTCGCGCCTGCTCCGTTCTCATCCTGGCTATACCGGCGCGCGTCCACAAAAGAGGGTTTTTGCTTGACACTAACTGCACTGCTGTTGCGGCCATTCGTGGAACAAAGTACGCCAGCTCTTGCCCCAAACTCGCCAACAACAAAGTCGACGACATCGACAATCAAAACATCATCGCCACGTCCCACACAAGAGGACGCTTGCCCGTCCAGGTCCTGCTGTGGAATTCGCGGAATAGAGCACGCCCGCTATTGGGGAACCTCGCCCAAAACACCTAACAACCACCACCACGACCGCGGCAGCGACAACACCAACAACGACAAATATCATCGCCTTACGCCTTACCGCCGTGCCCCAAGAGGCCCCAGAAGTGCTCGGCGTAGTGCGGGCATATGGGAGCGAGCAGGAGGATCTGCACCTCCATGAACCGGAGGATGAGGGTCTTGTGCATCAACGTCGACGTCTTGAGGCACCAGTCCCTGTCGTCCGTCACGCCGCGACCCGGCAGCAGGAAGAAGCACAGCAGAGATCGAAAAATCTAGCGAGCAGCGTCCTCAAAGGCCGTGTGTTGGGGCATCTCGCAATCGAAGAAAGACAGTTCAATTATCGCAGTGGCAGTGCCCACGTGAGGCCACAGACTTTAGCCCGGTGGCCCTTGTGAAATCGCGAGACACTTTTGAGGTTGCTATCTTCACATCAATGGATTCCAAACATTGCGTCATACAGTGATGGTCCCCGTTTAATGCCGGTACGTGCCCAGCAACCCACCGAAACTATTCAAAGTACTGACAAAGACTTGGAAATTCAGTTTGTGCCCGCCGACAACACCGGCACTATACCGGGCACCGACACCAGTCAACCGGCACTAAACATGGACCCCCTCTGTACTCGAACAGCGCTGGGCGTCCGGCGAAGGCTGGCCTAGCTCGCTGTGTACTGGAAAACCAGACTTAAGGCGACAACCTTCCACCACAGGTCAAACGGATGGGCCTCACTCGAGACAACCGAATAGGAATGCCGAAACCAGCAAGAATATTACAGTATAAACGCCTACACATTCGTTTGCAGCATACATTTGCCGGGGCTTGCACAGGGTACAGAAGAGATTCGAGCATCAGCATGAACGGGTGTGCGGAGAAGTCACTCAAGCAACGGCATAGAAAAAACACTTACCAAAAACAGCGACACACCTGTAGAAGTCCCTGAGCAGCTGCATCGCGAAGAACCCCGTGTGCAGCCCTTCCCTCCACATCATGCGCCCGTAAGCGTCATCCGTCTTGTTGATGAGGGCGTCCATCTCATTGCGGAAGGCGCGGTCCATGAAGACATACTCCTCTGCTCGTTCCACGGACGAGCCAGCCGCACAGACCAAAAAGGGACGGGACATAATTACGCCGGAACATGGGACACCAGCCTAAAAAAATTGAAAAGCGACCGAAATCGCGAATTTAACACCTACTTCAAAAACAAATATATGGTGGGAGCACGCGGTTTTCCGCCGTCGAGATAGGAAGAAAAACAAAATGGGCCAAAAAACAACGCCCGATCTATATATTCATCTAGTCAGGGCGTCGGCGCAATGGCCGAGAAAAGCTACAAGGTCAAAAAAAAAAAGGGCGAGTGGGGGCACGGGGAGCAAGCAGACAGAACTACCAAACAACGAAAAACTTCTCAACATCGAACTCGCGAAACATGCGTTGGCAAGGGCGACAAGCATCTACAAGGTGGTATACCCGCCGCCCAAAACAACAACGAAAATAGAAAATGAACGAAACCCGTTCAAGAAGATGGAAGGTTCCACGGAGCGACCCGCACCTTCCGGGGTTTCTCTGAGCTTCCCCTGCGCCGCTTCCTCCAGCACCAAACCCATCCACTCCTGACACAAGGTACCAAAAACAAGAAAAACGGAGGCAGCAACGTATGTGACGTGTCATTCCACGGGGTGATGAGGAGAAGGAAGGTACATCGGTAACCGTGGGCGGGGCCACCGCCGGGAAACTTCCGGAACTCGAGGAGGCGTGAACAGACGAGGCATGGTCCACATTCATTTTGAGATATCACTGCTGGTCCATCGAAGGAGTAGCGCACATCCTCGATACAACCCTCCCGCTCTTGTAGCAATGGCGAGAGACGAAGCGCACGCGAGAAACCGGAAAACGCGCCGAGACCCACCTCCTCGCACAGCAGCAGAATACTAGCAGCGACAATAACCCGAAACGACACAAAACACCCCGCACAGGACCGGCCGGGACAAGAACGCACCTCCTCCCCGGTGAGAGCGAGGATGGCCTTGTTGGCCGAGTCCACGGCGAAGTTTGCGTCCTCGAGGGAGTCACCGGCGTCAGCCAAGGCGAACCTACAGATTCGTCAGTCAGTCCACGCCATACATGACGATCACAACCACAATGAATTGCAATACACGAAATAGGGAAGGGATTAAAGACTGCCAAGCTGACAACAAGTAAGAAGAAATACCAGAAGATGAATGGTGTCATGTCTTGTGTCGAAAGGGTCGCTCCGTTCATCGTATTCCCAATGTACATTCGTTCCTCTGCAGAAACAAACTTTATCCGGCAACTCTATTTTTTTACTATACATGTTGCGATATTTTAGCTACTTCATGCATCATCGACGAACTCCCCGCGTGATGGTGGGGTTCCTACAGACAACAGGAGAACCCCCCTCAGAGCATTCGTGGGACTTTCTCGTCTCCCATCACGAAAACTGTCCGTCGGCCTTGGTAACTACACGAAACATCTTGGGGCTTCCTTCTTGTACGCGCGTTAACGGAGAACAACCAAGGTCATCGGACGGGCACCTTGTCGCGTCGGCGCCGAAGCGCTTGACACAATCGTCCATCATCAGGAAGTTCCCCTTGCTCTTGGACATCTTCATTGCGTCCACCTGCACGTGCCCGTTCGTGAAGTAGCCCCGCGGCCTGTGCTCGGATCCGGGGGTTCAGGGAAACGGCGGTGGTGGTCGTTGTCGTTAACGAGAATGTCCACAACGGAAGATGGCGATTAGCATGCTGGTACCCAAAAGTGAACTACTCCAAACTGACGAAAGCAATCAGCACGCATTATAACGAAGAGAAGTTTCCAGGGTACACCCGGACATGTGTAGAAGAGCTGCGATCGAATCACCAAGTTGACGCCGGCAAGGCCACCCCCAACACACACAGTCTCCATTTCATTCATCATCCTTCTACAATTCGCCAACACATTCAACAGGGAAGAACACCACACATGCTGACCAGGTGTTCTCAATGCTGTCGTCAAATCGCCACGCTTCGATATTATTCACCCCGTTTTCCTCCACAGCAGTCACATTCTAACACAGTGACACCGCATTCTGCATCAACACAACCCCGCCAAGGGTTACTACTGGGGCCCACCACAACGAAGGCCTCCTTATTCATTCAGCAACGTAGGCTACACACGATACCACGCTCCCCTGACAGATTTTCGAAGCTCGATAAATACACAACGAAGAGCATGCCAACATAAAAAAATACATTCCTCAAAAGCTCTCGACGTCAAGGTTCAAATACAACCACACTCAGTACTTGTGCTGCAGAGTAAATCAGGCAATGAAAAAGAGGGGGGGTGCTATCTTAGGTAGCCTACGATAGGCTTACCAGAGCTCTGGGCGGTCCTTCCAGATGCTGGCGTGGTTGTAGAGGGCCATAGTGAGGTGGTTCGGGATGAGGTCCTTGGCGGAACAGCGGAGGTCCATGGGGTACCAGTACTCGAACTCCGTCCTGCGCGACAAGAGAAAAACACGCGCAGCGGCCACCGAGAGACAGAGACAGAAAGAGACAAGGGAGGCAGAGAGAGAAAGACAGAAAGAGAGAGAGAGAGAGAGAGAGAGAGAGAGAGAG